AGAAGTGGTGTTGAACAGGTGAATTATAGTCTCCCAGCCGTGCTTGGTGAAGCACTTGCCGTTCCTGTGTCCGTCAGCGATAACGGACTCGCAGGCAGCAACGAAGATGTTTGTGTCATATGAATTCCACATAGCATTCTTACGGGACATCCTATGGTTGTTCACCGAATGGCCGGTCGAGGTCGACGACTGACCCCGTTGAACATTCGGCTGTAGTGACTGAGTCCGTTGGAAATTATGCTGTAGTCGACCAAGAATGTTAAAATGTTGTCCAACCATGACATAATTACCGACATTCGAATACAAATACCCACAAAATCAGTACAACACGACAAAGAATGTTCAAATTTTGTTCAGTAAGGGCAGAAGTAGCCACATTCGAATACAATCCCCCACATTTTTACCCCCATCATTGGCCAACAAATTTTGTTCGAGCATGCCAAAATTACCCGCATTCTGCTGTACTCACTGACAACGTGTTCCAAATTATGCTGTAGTCGACCAAGAATGTGAAAATGTTGTTTAAGCATGACATAAATACCGACATTCGAATTGAATTACCCAAGTAATTACACTGTCGACCAAGAATGTTAAAATTTTGTTCAGGAAATCCGTAAGCACCCACATTCGAATAGAATTACCCACATAATTACCCACATAATTTGACACAACAAATTGATGTTCAAGCACAGCATATTGAAACCACATTCGACCAAGAATCTAAAAATTTCGTTCAACCATTACATAATTGCCCAGCGTCGAATTGAATCACATAAATTGCATTGTCACTGGAATGAAAACGGAATAAAACTTACCCATGACGGTTTCAACGGGTCCATCACAAACTCTGAAAGGTTTCAACCGGAACTTCACGAAGAAGGAGGATGTTGGCCTCGTTCTCTTTTACGTGCAGGTGAGGCCCTGTTTAGAATCGGTACAATTGCACTTCTCACGTTCGAATTGAATGTTGGGGGAACCTGGGTCGATTGCTGGTGCCGGTTGTCGTTGCCACTGGAGCGACTTCACGACGGTTGGAGGAATCTAAAAATTTCGGGCTGCCACAAAGAATGTCTTACGCGTCGAAGCAGACACAATAGGTTCTGGACAGTCACCGGCAGATCAGGTTGCTGCCAATTCCGGAAGTTGTGGGTGCCTACTGCCGAACGCTTCACCCGGCTGGACACGATGCAAAACGAAGCTGAAATGGTAGCATTCACACAGATTGGTGCAGAGGCATGTTCGCTCTGGATAATCACCGGCAGATCAGACCGCTGCAGATCCCACCGTTGTCGGTGCAAACGGTCGACGGCTTCTCCCGGCTGGATTCCATGCGCAACGAAGCTGAAATGGGAGTTTGAAGTTGTGATTGTCGGTGTAGGGTTTGGTGCAGAGGCGTGTTGGTTGGGAAATTGGTGTGGTAGGTGGGTGTTGGTTTGGTAGGTGGGTGGTCTAATCAAGGAAAAAATGCTACAGGCTGATTGCAGGGTAGGAAAGGAAAAACAAAAAGGAAATTGACAGCTGCAATTTGTGATTTTTGGACCGTTGCAAATGCAACGGTCCAATATTCAATTAGAATTCAATTGTTAGCTGGCCCAGACAGGGCCCTAATATATCCTGCTAGTTTGGAAAACACCCCAACCCCTTAGCCCAGCCCAGCCCAAACCTCGATACTCCATCCTCATGGCTCTCGGTCTCCGTCTCTCTCGTATAGGAACCACCTCACCAGCCCTCAATAGACTTATATTTTTGGGACTGCTTCTCCATTGTCTAAGGTAGGCTGTAATCTTTATCTCTGAGTTGGACTTATGAGATTCGTTAGTTATGTGTTTATTTTTTCATTTAATTTTTAGGCCAAATTGGTCTTTTTTTTCTTGGATGTTGATTTTCTGTTTAATTATGTATAATTTTTACTCAAATCTTACTGGCTTATACTCAATTACATGTTGATCTTTTTACTCAATTGCCTGTTTAATTATGTAAAAACTGGGGAATATTTTTGGATTAAAAAGTAGAGATAAGTAAACCTTTGAACCAAAAAGGCATAAATTTGTGGACCTAGAAACCATTTCCGAGGGAATGGCATTTGTTAGTGAAGAAAATGACAGATTTCTTGAAGAAGTTTCAGTGTAGAGATTTTCAAATCGATTGAATTGTTTGTATTGAGAGTGTAGTCTCGCAGCACTTGGAGATAATTGAGGAAATACACTGAAATTGGTGCACTATTGGGGCGTAAATTCCTTTTTCCTCTTCTTACCAGGACTTCAGCACATTGTTGATTTCGTTTATTCTTTAATCTTGTTTTATTTAATCTTGATTGGTTCTCGTGTGTGGTATTTATGATGTAGTAGTCTTGAACTTGGGCGTGTCTCACAGTTTGTATAATGATATTTATTTTTTTGGGTTATATTCCATATTGTGTGTTTGTTTGGCTAGTGGAGTAAGGTTTTTTTTATGGAGTTTCTTTGAAGGGATTGGAGGTTGTTTCTATAGAGTTTCTTTGAAGGGATTGTATTGCTTGTATGTATATTTGGTTTGGTTTTTCCAATTGAATATGGCTGAAAGCTTAATTTTCTTTTTCAGCCCCCCTAATCGAAAATCGTGGATCTGCGCCCTGAATGTGGTCTTCACTCAGTAGCAATGGATTAAGAATTCTGCGCTGCCGCCTTGTTTATCAACCACAACCTCTTCCCATTAATCCTCTTTTTCTGTTGCATTGCGGGTTCGGAACCCAAATTTTGATGGACGGTTGGAACAAAAACGCTTCTTTCACTGCTTCCGCTGGTTCCAGCAGAAGGTCTGTGTGTGTTTTTCCCTCAAAATTGTTTGTTTTTATGTCAAAAGATTAAAAGTTCCTGTTCTGAACTAGTTCTTTTACTAATTTTGGGTGTAATTTATGCTAGTGGTGGTGGTAGAGGAAGAGGACTGGAGAAGAACGATTGTCGGGAAAGATCAAGAGGCCAAGGTGGCGGCGGTGTTTCTTCTGGCAAAGATAAGATTGATGCTCTTGGCAGACTCCTGTATGCAATTATTATTGCTCTTTTATTTATTTGATTGTTTTATTGTTTTTGGATTAGTTAGTGTTGAGTTGTAGTATTTTTAGCCCCTATTTGTCTCCCATTCTTTCAACTATATACTCATTTTCAACCACACATTTACACAATAAAATATTCTACACGTAAACTACTTTTTGACCATACATTCTCAAAAAAATAACTATTTAAAACAATGTTTTTCCAAAAAAATGGCCACCAAACAGGGGCTTAATAGAATAAGAGCAGTAGTGAAGACGAAGAAGATTAGAGAATTCAGACATGGGAAAGCTATAATATTGGAAATTTTTTGCATGGGTTTATAGAGGAAATGGTTGACGAAAAGTTTAATCCAAATGGGCTTCTAATAAAAATTTTGATGTCTAAAACTAATATGATTACAGAAAACAAGTCACTCTGAAATTTTACTTTGGTTCTTATGGCAATGCATTAGTTCTGCTTCTGATGTTTTGCTGAAAACTAGTCAATTACAAGTTTTCTTACTATTTATTTGAATCTTTCTTGAAGACCACAATCTATTATTTTTACACCTATTATTGTCTCTTATAAGAAAAAAAGAAAGTCTCAAAGAAGGTGATTAATGTTTTCCATTGCTGATAGTGTTCTATTGGGTTCTAATCTATTTTTTTCCTTCATTTATGGTTAACCAGATATGACATGATTACTACAATCTTTGTGCACAGTTAAATTTAGTTGAGACATCTCTTCAATTATTATTTACTTTAATTAGCTATTTATTGGCAATAAATTCAGAACTCGTATATTGCAGCACATGGCTTTTGAGTTGAAACTGGACATTAGGAATGATGGATATGTCAAGGTCCAAGACATGCTAAAGTTAAATCTGAAAACGCTTGCCGACATTCCATTACGCTCATATACAGTTGATGATGTTAGAGAGGTTTGTTCTTTAATTTGTGTATATAAACCTAATGTGAAGAATTCATATCAAGTACCATATGGTAATGTTCACATGTTCCATTGAGACATTGATTACTTTCTGGAGGTAAAATGCTTCCACTATTCTTTTCCTATGATATTGGATAGCCTAAGACATCTAGCAACTATGGATCAATTGTCGTCCTTCTATTTTTCCCTTCTTAGTCTCTGTTCAGGGATAGCCTTGGCACTTAAAAAGTCATCAACCACTCTTACTCTGTACTCTTGAAAATTATTTTAGAAAGGTTACATCTTGAAGCACGTCTCATGTGGGACTTTCAGTGAACAACTCAAAGCTTACATATTGAATGCTATTTTCGAGGCTTATGCCTCTTGGTGGCTAAGGCATGTGCTTGTTTGTTTTGCCATATATGGGTTCCATGGAATAAGCCTCAGCATTTTGGGCAGTGTCTTTATAGTTTAAAATGTTGTACACGTTTTTTAGTTATCCTTTTTCTACCTTTATGCGGGGAGTTTACCTAGCATGGTCATGTCTTTATTACTATTAATTAAGAAGGGTGTTTTTTAGAAGCATCTTCATTTATTGGAGGATAGTCGAAGTTAAGGATCATTTTATTAGCAAAACTTACCCAGTTCCTGGAACATTTGGGCTTGTAAGATAACTCAGTTGAGATTTGGGTTTGAATTTAACAAAACTTGGCATGGTCTACAAATAAGCTCACATTAAGATGGTGATTAGAAATGGTGTTGTGGACTAATACTTGCTTGTGAGTTGTGCAATAATATTTTGGCCTTAAAATTTTGTGTCCCTTTCTGTTTGTTTTGTTCCCCTTTCTCTCAAGTATTGCTAACTAACATGGAGCATTACACACATGGAATTGTTGTTCTTCTCAATGTGTACCACAATTAATTAATTGTTTTTGTTCATGTTTTTCTCCAATTGACTTGCTATTTTTGTTCTTCATTTATTCAATTTTTGTGTAAGAACCATCCTTCAGCTGAATTTAATATCTATCAGGCTGTCAGAAAGGACAACAAACAGAGGTTTAGCCTATTGGAAGAAAATGGGGAGCTTTTGATACGTGCGAACCAAGGCCACACCATAGCGGTAATGCACCATCTAAAGATTGTCACTAGGACTGCATTTCAACTGAAGTATTAATGAAACTAATAATTGAAAGTAGCCTGTCATTTCTGTGATCGAAAATATTATTGCTCCCTTTCTTGTTTCTTGGTTGAAGGAATGAGGTTTATTGAGACTTTGTTATTGAAGTCTGGATGAGAAATTCTTAAATGAATTTTAGTGGTATAATACTAAAGTTTACTTCTCAGAATTGGTGAACGTTGAAACAGGTTTACTGGAACTTCATCATCTCGATATAATCTTTAAGTTAGAATATACATGTGTGACTTGTATGGACCAACTTGGTCACTTTAGGTTAGTTAGGGACTAATTTATGAATTACATTCTTTATTATTTCACTTGTTATATACATCATTTTTGGCATAATGGAATATAGATTTTCTCTCCTGTAGCTGACTTGGTATCAAAGCACAATAAGAAAAACCCCAAAATCAAAAGTTCAGGAACCCTAACCGAACTTTAGATTTTCCCCCAAATTTTCCGAACCCTAACCATAGCCTAGCCTTGTTGGAACTCTAGTTGAGATCCAAACCTCCAACGAGTTTACACAGGCCACCAATGACCTCATGACTGCCATGCGACATCTTGGCTTCTTCACAACCACTGCGCGAATTCTCTTCATCCTTGTATAACTGTTTTTTGATGCCATTCCAGGCTACTGCAACTTATTTGGTGCTTGTATTCCTCTCGTGACCACTTTTTTTGCTGGGTGGCCCTCTTTTTGTCGACTTAGCCTTTAGGTGAGCCCTATGTATCTGCTCTTCAAGTTCTGCACATTGTTGCAGGGTATTGATTGATAGTTCTAATGTTCGGCTACTGTTTGTGGGGTTTTGGTTGTTTGTGGATTGTTTGAGGATGGTATGCTATGGTAGAAGAAATGAATGCTCTCATGAAGAACTTGGGAGATGATCAAGCTACCTCTGGAGTAGAAGACTGTGGGGGTATAAGTGGGTGTTCTCAGCAAAGTACAAGTCAGATGGGGCAGTGGGCAGGTATAAAGCTAGACTTGGTAGAGTCTATACACAGACTTATGCGATATATTATTAGGAGACCGTTGTTTTGGTGGCCAAGATTAATACTATTAGAGTCATACTATCTCTAGCACTTAACCTAGACCAGCCATTAAAGTAGTTCGATGCTAAGAATGCCTTCCACCATGATTATCTGACAGAAAATGTGTAGATGGATTCGCCTCTGGATTTCACACCTCCATGAGGTAAGGTATGTAAGTTGAAAAAGGTTATGTATGGCTTACAAAAGACTTCGTTTGGGAAGCTGAGTTGTTCAATGAAGGGGTATGGATTTATGCAAGCATCGACAGATCACATGCTGTTTTATATAAAGGATGATGAGGATACCACGCTACTTACTGTGTATGTTGATGACATGATTGCTATAGGTAGTAAATCCATGAAAAAACTTTAAAGCTATCTTGCCAAAGGGTTCGAAATGAAGGATTTAGGTGGTCTAAAAATACTTCTTGTTGATTAAGGTATGTTGGCCTAAACAAGGACTTTTCTTTTCCCAACAGAAAGATATACTAAATCTCTTGGCAAAAATTGGTTACTCTATATCTGGACCTACAGACACTCTTATAGTGGTAAATATAACTTATCTATCTACCTCGATCAAACTCATACGAAAAAAAAAAAAAAAAAGAGATATCAAAGACTGGAAAGAAGTTGATCTGTGTGACTCACACGAGACCTGACTTGTCATATGCAGTGAGTGTTGTGATCTAATTCATGCATAATCCTAGTGATCGACATATGCAATTAATGAATTGTATCTGAAATTATATATGATCTGATTAAAAATATAATGTAAATGTGAACTCTTGTGTGTTCAAGTGAGTATCGATGAACAGACCTGAGATCTTGTGTTTGAGAGATCTAATGTGAGATAGATTCCTTAATAAACAAGTAGTTTTATTTAATCAAATAGAATACAACTTCAAACTTGTCTGATGAGATCGATGAATCAATTTATTTTCTGTATTAGTTACGTGTTTTCAAGTGCCACTTAGCATTATATCATGCAGTTTTGCATTGACATGTTAAGTTTTCCTCCGACAATGTATTCTGCTTTTAAGTTCTTTAACAATTTAATTGTTCATCTCTATATGGTTGCGCCATTTGATTTTTTTTTTTTTTTCTTTCTTCCTTTTTTCATTCTTTCTTTTCTAAATTTATTTGGCTGAACAGACAGTTGAAACAGAGAGCTTGTTGAAACCCATACTTTCACCTGAAGAAGTTCCAGGTGTAATGTTATTTTGATTGTCATCTATTTTCCTTCTTGAAGAGATCGAGTTAATTGTTTTACATCTTCCACTACTAAGAGCTTCCTTCCATCTTGGCTTTGTGCAGTCTGTGTACATGGGACCTACAAGAAGAACTTGGAATCAATTTTAGAACATGGTCTCAAACGCATGAATAGATTACATGTGCATTTCTCTTGCGGCTTGCCAACAGATGGAGAAGTTATTAGTGGTGAGATATTTAATGTTAGTTTATCGTGTGCTCTGGTCTAACATGTAGTTGCTCTGTTAGCCAATTCACTTTCCACATTCTTTATGTGCTCACTTGAATAGGATTGCTGAGCAAAGGAAACAAGAAAACTGTTCTTGAGCAAATGTATGGGGAATGACCTACCATATTGGTTTTCTATATTTGTTGCATGTTTGATACGCTCGACTAGGTAGTATAGTGAACAAGATTATGGCGTTCTAGTTACTTTTTCGTCATAGTACTGTCCAGTGTTATCAAATCCTTCTTACCAAGCATGTCATTGATGTTTTATTTTTCAGTTTATTAGCAATGATAGAATTCTGTGCACCGATGCTTAAAATTGATGTAACATTTCTTCATTGAAGCTTAACAGAGATAGCTAGCTTTCTTTCTTGTTTTGCCCTGGGACAGTTTAAACCTTAAAATTCTGGTGAGCGGTTTTTATGTGCAAAATAACCTGCTTCTTGCGGAAGATGATTTGTAAAGACTGTCTATTGAACACTAAAGTAAAAGGGATTCTATCTTAAGTTTTTGGTAAGAAATCTTCGGGACGTGCATTCATTAATCCATGCACGAAAAGCTGCCATGCTTTGAGTGGCTTAGTGGTTTTACCAGTTTTAAGATATGTTATTTCAACCTTGAAACCAGGTAAATTTGTAATTGTTAAAATATTTCAACGTACACTTTTTTTTTTAAAATTAGGCTTTAGTCTTTTGTTATTTGTTTTCAATGTATTCAAATAGATCATTGTATTGGTGCTTTGATGATATGCATGACATGGTTTTTCAGGGATGAGACGAGATGTCAATCTGTTGATCTTTCTTGATGTTAGAAAAGCTTTGGAAGGTACGTCATATGAACAATGGGATAGTTCTCGTCTGGGAAGAACGGTGTTTTTTTTTTCTGTTTTTGCTTTTTAATGTTTCTCACTGCATCCTCTTTTATGTCAGAGGGAATGAAGCTTTACATTTCGGACAACAGGGTGATCTTGACTGAGGGTTTCAATGGAGTGGTTCCCATAAAGTATTTCCAGAAGATAGAATCATGGCCGAAGAGAGAGCCTATACCCTTTTAGACTGGTAAGTATAATTAATCTCTCTATTTTTTATTTTTTAACACATCTTCTGGCCATTTGCCTCTTTTAAGGTGAGATTTCAATTTTCTTTTACCAAACATTATCGAAGGGAGATGAAAAGATGCCATGGAATGGGAAAGATCTTATATTGTAGCTACAAGGATCGTCTTCTTGAATAACATTATTCATTGAAATGTAAATGACAAGTTTGAACAAGTTCTGTTGAATCTTTCAACTCCAAAGGCATTATGTTTTGACTAATGTATTGAAATCTAAGGTCACGCCAGTCGTGCTAAAATGGGACGATAATGCCTTTTAGCTCTTCATCATTCTAAATAAGTTGATACAACTTCAGTGATAGTCATTAAGTTATTGTCAACAAAATGTCTCGTGCATCATATGGTATATGCTACACACTTGTATCATGCATACCTAGGTGTCAAAAAGAATCAGATTTACTCGTCGTAGGCTTGTCGTAGCCTAACCCACCTCCATGGTTGGGCCATGGTGGTGTAATAGAACCTCGGATTAATCGTAGTGGACTTGATTTCTATTAGCCAGCAGACAGATTGCATTGGCCAAAAGGCAGATTACATCATTCCAGCAGATAGATTGCATTGCATTAGCCAGCAGACAGATTGCATTATTCAAGCACCACAGATTGCACCAATCAAGCTCCACGGCTCACTGTTATTAATCTTTCCTTGTGTAGCAATATATGTGTTCTATATATATGTTGTAATCCTCGTGTATATAGAAAACACAGTAACATACAAGAATATTCTCATTTTTTCTCTTATCATGGTAACAGGACACCTTGATCTTTGGAATCTGTGAACACTTCCGCACCATTTTCTTCACCATGGCTGACACCACCGTCACTCCCATACGAGCTCAGCTTATTAGCGATCTCACTTCGCCTTATTTCTTGATTGCAGCAGATAACCCCGGTGCTGTTTTGGTCCCAAAATTTCTTAGTTGCAACAATTACCCCACATGGCTTCGCTCCTTGCAAATGGCTCTCAATGCCAAAAATAAATTGGTTTTTGTCGATGGATCCCTCAAAAAACCTACATATGCATCAATTGCTACACTATGGGAGAGGTGCTACAACATGGTTTTCTCTTGGCTACTCAATTCCTCTGACAAGTCTTTCTAAAAAAGTTTGATCTACTAAAATCCTTATGCTGTATGGACAAACCTAGAACAATGATTCTCTCAAAGCGACAACCTATGCCTATATCGCCTAAAGTGCGATCTCGTTAATCTTCATCAAGAATCAATGATAGTGACATCCTACAATAACACCATCAAGGGTCTCTAGGATGAATTACATGCCCTCATTGAACTTAGCTCTGGCACACGTGTTGCTCGCAAAGATGACCAGGAGAAAGAAGAAATCGAACAACTCTTCCAAGTTCTTATGGGCCTAAATGAATCTTTCAGCAACACCAAAACTCAGATTCTAGTCATGGATCCTCTGTTGAGTCACCAAAGCCTACGTCATCATCCATCAAGAGGAGACTCAACGACATCTCCATCTCTCGCAGTGTCCTACACCAGATATTTCTGTCATGACTGTAACTCGACCTTTTCCACCATATTTTCACAATCGAGCATTAAACGGCAAGAAGTGCACATAGTGTGGAAAAGATGGTAACTAAAGAAAATGCTGCTTTGAAATTATTGTGCTCCCAACCCATTGGAACACCTCCAAACCAGAGCAAAAGAAGGTTACTTCCGCAACAAATGCCACAGCAAACGTCATGTCCTAGTTGCCTTCACCATCTACAGCAAGTGCAATCCTTGGCCTCTCCAATGAACAATATAAGCACATGATCGATCTTCTGCAACCTGACTACTCGAATGACTTCTCTAGTAGCTATAGTTCTCTCTCTTGCAAATAATGTTGTTTAAGGCATGAGATATCGACACGGGGGCTTCAGCCCATGTATCTTGTATGGATCTCTTATCATGCAACACGTATTAGCCCACACTCACAGACTCTTACCTTACCCACGGGAGCCACGGCTCAAGTCACGTGGAGCGTCTCCAATTATCACTCTCACTTCATGATGTGATCCATGATACGAGAGCAAGTCCGGGCAAGGATCCGTTGATCATTGAGGGAGGACCGATCACTAGGTTGTCAGCAAAGCGAGTCAAAGAGGCGATGAGATTGCTTGCTCAAGTTTAGGGTTGGGCAAAACCCGCCCGAACCCGACTAACCCGCCCAACCCGACCTAAACCGATCGGTTTGGGTCGGTTTTTAGTTTTTTTTGGTGGGTTTTTGGGTCTTGGGTTGATTAGGCGAGTCGAGTTGGGTCGGGTTGTGGGTCAACTTAAAAAACATGGTACAACCCATCCAACCCGACCCGCCTATATTAAAAAAAAAAATTGACTTTAATTAGAAAAACGCCCTAACCCGATACAACCCACCCAACCTGACCCGCCATATTAAAAAAAAAAAAGGAACCCGACATATAAAAGGAGAAAAATCCCTGATCTTCCCACAAATCACCATTCCTCTCGTCCTTCTTTCTCCACGCCGCAGCTCTCTCTGCTTCTTGTGTTTACTCCCATCGCTTGGCCAAACTTTGGCCCCACTATGTTGACTAATATCCTCCTCTCTCTGTCGGCATCTAGGCTCCGGAATAGGCCCCTATTTGTGTTATTTATTCCCTGTTCACTGTCTCCCTTTGCTGCATCCGTGCATGCCTGTATGATTCTCCTTCACCATGAATCCTCCTTCAACCTCTCTCTGATTTCTTTCAATTTCAGGTATATATTCTATTAATATAATGTATTTTTCCCAATTTTCTATGTTTAAATTGGAATTACACAGTTTCAATGATATCTAGAATTTTTTAAAACTTCAGTGGAAGTCTACAATGTATTAATCGAAATGATGAAAGAAAGTACTCACAGTTGAAAAAAAAGATGATGTGGGCTCTCTTTTTGTGCATAAATTCATATATACATGGGATGTATTTGTGTATCCTTTGGTGGTAAATTTGCAAGTGTTTGGTATGTAGTTCAATTGTTTGTCAAAATGCCTTATTGAGAATATTGCAATAAATTTTAGTTCAAGAGTAAACTTTGATAAATAAATAAAAACCTGACAAATCCTTGGAAATCGACAGGGGAGTTCTTGTTTCGCATTCATAATCATAGCAATTGATTATAATATTATTGATTGTTTTGGAACTAAATTAGTGTTGTTTTAATAATTCGATCTGATTTTCAGAAAGGAACAGGTCAATAAGGATGGAAATACAAACAAGAAATGAAATGTTGGTTCCTTTGTTTATTTACATGCTCTTTTGTTTTAAAGAACAATTTGTTGAATTTCATCATTTCCATCAGTTTTCTCATTTCAGTAGAACTNATTAGTTTTCTCATTTCTGTAGAACTGACTTGTATATTTTTTATGATAACAGGTCGCTTAATAAAACTTTGGCTTCAACAAGTAATGGGTTTTTGACTTTATCATGCTCTGCAAAATGCAAAGACACTATCAAGCTTAGAGAATGTAAGTTCCAGAGCTCTAAAATTGCAGAATTATTTTTGCTATATACTACTGATCATGTGTTAAGTTGATTTTGAAACTAGTGATCAAAATCACCTTAAATTCTTATCGTCCTGAACTGACCAACCCAACCCAACCCGATCGACATTTGGTTGGGTTGGGTTTCAATTCTCACATGAAACTAGTGATCAAAATCAATTCTTATCGTCCCGATACGACCAACCCAACCCAACCCGATCGACATTTGTTTGTGTTGGGTTGGGTTTCAATTCTCACATGGGTTGGGTTGGGTTGAATTTTAATCAAACCGACCATGTTGGGTTGGGGCAAAAACCGACCCAACACAACCCACGCCCAACCCTATTCAAGTTACGGTGGATGAAACGTTGATCACGACAAGCAAAGGAAAAAGTTTCGTGTTGGGCTCGGGAGAAGAAACCAAATAAATCAACTTGGTTCAAGCAGCGGAAGAAGCATAGTTCATTCTGGACATGTATTTTTTTTCAATTTTCGCGTAATCTTTTATTTAAGTTAAAACTCCTTTATGGAATATTTTTAGTATCTTTGAGACTTCAATTCCGTTTTTAATTAGGCTTTATGGGTTTCCCATATATAGGACTCCTTATATTCATTGTAAACACACAATTATTGAAATTATTATCGCGAGGCTAAATTGCTTTCTTCTCGTTCTTCATTATTTTAATTTTGAACTTATCAAGAATTAAATTCTTGTAGCGTTCTACAAATTCAAAGTAAGGTTCATAAGTTTTGTGATCACAGGTCAAGATATTGTTAGCGATTGCATTAGTTCTTAGTTCATTAATTTATTGGGTTGAGCTTTTCGAACGTTGATTCTTGGCTTTCTTGGGTTCTAATTTGTCATGGGTTCTGTAGCTACAATTGCTATGTGGGTTCGCATCAGTTGGTATGAGAGCTTGGGCTCCATAATTAAGGTTATATCATTTTCATTTTTCGTTTGAATCTTTATTTCTTTTTTCTTGAGTTCTTCGTGTTCTTCTATTTAAATCTTTGATCCGTAAGTTTTTCGTCAAAAAATTCAAAAGTTATTTTTGTGCCCATTTTATGTCCAAATCAACTTTCGTTTTCTTGCCAATGTCAGTTGAATTTCGAGTTAAAAAAAAATTTCGAAAATTCTGAAAAGAATTCAGAAAATTCTGTAAATAGTGAAATTAAAAAAAGAGAGTATATTTGTTATTATTTATCTCGGAAATTGTTGGCCAATTACGTTATCTATTGTGTAAAATTCAAGAACCACTTTTTTGAATTCAAATTACATTTCAATCATCCAATTCAATTCTTTTTTCTTTCTTGAATCTTCAAATTTTCAAAAATCTCACTTAAAACTCGGTTTGAATTCTACGAGAATAATTCATGATTGAGTTCAAATTAATTTTTTGAAACACTTGTAAGAAAGCATTGAGTGGAAAAATGCAAAGTAGAGAGACTAAGAGAGGGAAAAAGCCAATTTGAGTGATACACGAGCGTATATACGTGAGGCAAATATCAAAATAGATTTAGAATGTCTGAGGGACAGTTCTACTTCAAACGAGAAGGATAATCAAGTCAACATGTCGGATGAGGTGATACGACGATTCGAAAGGTTGTTTGAGAATATGAGAGACAGATTGGATAGGCAAGATATATTGCTTGCTAATTTACGTCGGGAACAATCTAAAGAAATTCCTAACGCAAGTAGGCAAGGAAGGCGGGACCATAGAGCGGAATATGTGATTGGAAAACGGATAGTGATTTAATGAGGATGGATTGATGGATGTCGAGTTAGAAAGAATGAGGGATAGAGGAATTAGGCATGAAAAAAAAGGGTAGAGATCTTGTTGGAGATGCTATTGATAGGAGTATGGACAACATTAAGATGACAATTCCTTCATTCAAAGGAAGAAGTGATCCGGTGGCATACTTGTAGTGGGAAAAGAAAGTGGAATTGATATTTGATTGTCACAACTACTCAGAGGAAAAGAAGGTAAAAATTGTGGTGCTTGAATTTACCGATTATGCTATTATTTGGTAGGATCAAGTAACATCTAGGAGGAGGAACCATGAGAAGCCTATTTATACTTGGGAAAAATTGAAGGCTATCATGAGGAAGATGCTTGTGCCTAATCGTTATTATTGGGAGCTTCATCAAAAATTGCAAAGCCTCTACTAATGTTCTAGGAGTGTGGAGGATTATCACAAGGAGGTGGAGATTGCGATAATTAGAGCAAATGTTGAGGAGGATAGGGAGGCCACCATGGCCAGATTTTTAAATGGTTTGAATAGGGATATAACTAATGTGGTAAAGTTGCAGCATTATGTGGAGTTGGAAGACATGCTACATATAGCTATGAAGGTGGAAAGACAATTGAAGAGGAAGGGCACAGCTAGGTATTCATCGGGCTTTTCGGGTTCTAATTCTTCTTGGAAACCGAAGACAGATAATAATAAAGGTGATGAGGCTGTTTCAAAAGGTAGGATTGAGCTACCGAAAGGAAAAGAGGAAGTTGCTAGCAAGGTTACGCCCAAGGTGGATTCTCAACCATCTAGGAATCGGGATATCAAGTGCTTTAGGTGTTTGGGATCGGACACATTGCTTCCCAATGTCCAAACAAAAGGACGATGATCTTGCGGGACAATGGAGATGTGGTTAGTGATAGTGATAGTGAATATGTTAACACGGCGGAATTGGAAGAAGCTAGCCATGGTGAAGAAGTAGAGTATGCAGTGGTTGAGCTATTGGTTACACGATGAGCTCTTAGTGCTCAAATCAAAGTTGATGACTTGGAGCAACAAAGGAAGAACATATTTCATACAATGTGTCACATCAACAATAAGGTATGTAGCATGATTATTGATGGGAGTAGTTGTACAAATATGGCTAGCACAACACTTGAAAAATTGGGATTAACTATGCTAAAACATCTTAGGCCTTATAAACTACAATGGTAGAATGAGTGTGGAAATGTTAAGGTGAGTATTTGTGAGTTTCTCAATTGGGCGGTATAATGATGAGGTGATGTGTGATGTAGTTCATATGCATGCTGGGAATATTTTGTTTGGGAGGCCATGACAATATGATAGGAAGGTGATTCATGACGGGTACAAAAACAGGTACAACTTTACTAAGGATAGGAGATCTATTACTCTTGTACCGTTGACACCACAACAAGTGTATGAAGATCAATCAAGTTGAAAAGTGAGGAGGAAAAAAGATTGAGAGAAAATGGGAGTGAGATTGACCTTTCACAACACGAGAGCAAGACAGAAAATAGTGAGGTAGCTAAAAGTGAGAAAAAAGAGTAGAGCTACAAGAGAGAAAAGTAAACGAGTCTGATGAGAGGAGAGAAAAGTCAAAAGTAAATTTCTTTACAAAAGGGAGTGAGTTGAAGAGGGCAGTAGTTGAGAACCGACTTATGGTCTTGTTGGTTTATAAGGAATCATTCCTCAATCTCGAGGAATCTAACACACCCCTCCCCAGTTTGGCTACTTTTTTTATGCAGAAATTTGAAGACGTGTTCCCGGAGGACATGCCTAGTGGGCTACCACCCATTTGAGGCATTGAACATCAAATTGATTTCGTACTTGGAGCTGTCATTCCAAACAGACCGGCTTATTGGAGTAATCCCGAAGAGACTAAGGAACTTCAAATGCAAGTGGAAGATTTGATGAGCAAAGGGTATGTGAGGGAGAATATGAGTCCATGTGCAGTGCCAGTATTACTTGTACCAAAGAAAGATGGAACTTGGAGGATGTGTGTCGACTGCAGGGCCATCAACAATATAACGGTAATGTATCGTCGTCTTATTCCCGGGTTAGATGATATGTTAGATAAATTACATAGATCATGCATATTTAGTAAAAGGGTAAATATATTGCCACCACAAAAAGTGTTTGTGGCACCACATTTTTAAACAGTTTGTTGATTTATAAAACTGAACATTAATAAAATGACGTAAATAACCTCTTACTTATTTCTTTCTATTTATTTTAAATTAAATCCATTTTCTTTTATTCCTATACACCCACAATTCTCCTGGCATAGTTATTCCAATTCCATCCGTCTTTTGTTGTTTCCTTCTTCTACATCCAATCTGTTGGTGACAACATCCTCCAACTATGCTGCACACTCGGCAATTTCCTTCATTTTCTTTGTAGAGACATTGTGTGCTATCTCCACGCAGTAAGTACTGCCATTAAACAAATTAAACAGTCAGCGATAATTTAAAAAAGCCACAGTATCTTCGAACAGGATAGAAAAATGAACAGCGGGCTGTTGTGCATCATTAAGACCTCTGTTTCTGAGACATTGTGAACAACAAATTTCTTAAATCAATGTTTGGGAAGTAGTGGTAATAACACTTGGCCGCTGCAATACCTGTAGGTAATACAATGAATTTGAGAATCTCTGATGTGCATATAGAAATTTTAATCTTATGAACAATAATAGAGAAAATTGGAGTCTGATCTTTAGTTTTTAAGAGCAGTTCAAAATACAACTGAAGAGAAAATGTCACTTACTGGGATTCTGCAATGGATATTGAGGTCGTAGTTCAATTGGCTGAGGCTTTCTTTTGCTCGATTTTCTGTTTCCAGAGCTTTATTGCATACTTGTTTAACCTGAGCCTGCACCGAAACAAAATCAAACTGATTTATTGAACTCTTTAAACAATGAGAGATAGTGCCTGGGGGTAAAATGAACAAACATAAAATGAATACAAAGCAACGACATACAGAAATATTTTTCCTTTCCAATATATCATTGTTTTCCATTGATGGTCATGAAAATTTTGGAACTTTAGTGTCCACGAGGATGTCTCAAATGCTAAGTAAATAAATGTGGTAATTTAGATAATAATGAAAGTATAAGGAAACAGAACTCGATAACAACAAGAAGCAGATGGTGTTTCAAGTAGGAAACTGTGAAGAGTAATAGAAGAAAACTATAGTCAGAGTTAATATAAATTCTTGCAGCAATAATTGGCAAATCCTACATAAATTTCAAATGAAATAAAAAAACCTAGGAGCACAAGCAATAAACATTGAAGAAACTCTT